TCACTAGGCGGCCCCTTCCCTTTGTGTTCGGCGTTGAGCTTGCCTGCTTGTTTGAAAACCCAATAATTTTTGTTGGTATGGTTGGCGGGTTTGTCAGGGCTGCCATGAATTTGACAGGGCCGATCCAGTATCCTATCTAAACTGGATGGGCCATCTTTGTTTGCCTTGATTGGCTTCTTTTGTTGACCGGATTTGGAACCACTGAATCCGGCGTTGACCGCCGTGTCTTGGGTTCCTACATTATTGTTTCGACGCTTGTTTTTATTGCGTCGAGGCTTGCCATTGCCGTCCCTGACCTCAGAGATGCTAGGATCGCTGGTGCTATTGTTTCGGCGAGCCCGCCAGCTGTCTTCTCCCACGCAGAAGCGGGTCATCAGTGCGGTAGGAGTTGCCATAGGCTTTGGTTTTTCTTGGCCGAGGTGACGGGCCGGCCATTCGTCTCGGACGCTATGTTTAAAAGCCGCTAGGGCTTCGGCATCCGGACAGTCGACGATTTGGTTCTTTTTAATTAAGAACCTAGTCCAGAGCTTCCTGGTGGACTCTCCAAGCTGCTGGATGATGTGACTGAGGTCACCGGCATCCGGAGGCCGGACATATGTACCTTGGAAGTTGTCGCGAAAGGCGTCTTCCGAGTCTTCCCAGTTGCTAATAGAGTTTTCTGGGAGGCTGTTTAGTCAGTGTCGGGCTGATCCCTTTAATTTTAGTGGGAGGTATTTGATGGTGTGAAGATCATCACCGCGAGCCATATGAATATGGAGAAGAAAGTCCTCAATCCATACCACGGGATTTGTTGTTCCATCATACGATTCGATATTCATAAGGTTGAACCCTTCTGGGAATTCATGCTCCATTACTTCATCAGTGAAGCAGAGGGGGTGTGCGGCACCTCTATATCGGGCCAAGTCGTGACGCAGCTCGGATGGAGTCCGTCTACGGTTTTCGGCCCGGGCGTGATTATGCTTGTCACATCCAGCTGGATAGCCGTCGTCGCGCGTCGGTGCACGCCCCCGCGATCCGTAGATCGATCTGGCTTGGCCTGCTCTATTGTCCAGGTCTTGCCGTAGGTCATATGTATATTCCCGAGCTGTTATGTCTCTATTTTTATGGCGAGGTAGTATGTGCTGGTGTTCGGCTTTAGTTAACATTTTGTCCCGGCCACGAGGTGGTCGGTCAGCCGCATTACACGCTGATGGTGCGGACTCAAGGGCCTCACCGTCAAATTGGGGTAGCAGTTTATGCTTCGGGTAACTTTTGATTGGGTGCTCGAGGCCGTATTCCTCGGCTGCCAGGACATTAGTCCACCTATCGTTGAGCAGATCTTGATTAGCTTGCAGCAGCTGCTGCTTCTTTTTTAGGCTCCTTGCAGTGGCAATTAGCCGGCGCTTAAAGCGCTCCTACTCGAGAGCTTCCTCGGGCACGATAAAATCCTCGTTGCCGAGGCTCACCTCATCCTCAGAGAGAGGAAGATAATTGTTGTCCTCCGAGTCTTCGTTTTCAGCCTGTTCATCGGGGCTAACTTGCCCATCTTCCCGGTTGTCCTGTTTGGAGGTCGGCTCGACGGGTTCTTCCTTGTTTTCGGCATCGTCCAGAGTGTTGTTGCCTCCTATGCCAGTATTGTTGTCTTTTCCATGGCGTGATTTAGAGCGGCGTTGTCGGCATTTTGGTTGTATCTCGGGAGGTTTATCCTCTACTGGATTTTTCTCATTATCGTCGTCACCCTGCTTGGGTGTATCCACCATGTACACGTCATACGAAGAGGTGGCTGTCCAGCGTCCAGTAAACGGCGGGCTTTGGGCCTGCTCTTTTTCGGCATCGCCGTCCATACCGCCGATGTCTTCGGAGTCGTAATCGAGCATGTTAGTTAAGTCCTCGACAATGGCGATGAATTGGGTGGTGGGTGGGACGTAAAATTCCCCGTTCTCAGCCCTTAGTCCGGGATGGGCGTAGTTCGGACGTTGCTCCTTCGTAATGACGAGGGATCGCATCAAGTCCAAAGCCTCGCTTAAAGGCGAGGTTTCGCCAGGGAGAAGTGAATCCATGGAGTATGGCGGGAAGGGGATTCCTCAGCCGAGCTCACATGATGCTGACTCCGAGAGTTTGGCGCCAGTGTTCGGGGAAGAGTCCGGCTTTGCGATGGTTGCCAGCGACAGTGCTTCCTCCGGCTCTCCCGTACTGGGCTTAGTGACCACAGATAGTCCGGCGGGTTTAGAAATCCCGTCTTCGGACCTGGCGATGCGCTCCGGCTCTAAGGCTAGAGAGGAGGTTGGGGTCATGAATCCTTGGAAGATCAAGTCTCCTCGGATGTCAGCGACATAATCCAAGTTTCCATAACTAATT